CCCCCCCCCCCCGAAAAGAACAAAAAAAAAAAAAAAAAAAAAAACTTCAACCAGGCACTTCATGCCCCTCCATCCAACCTTCTTTGGGGAGAGCAGAGGTGACAGCCCCGCCACCAGCAGGCCACCTAGGCCCCGCAGCCAGCCCCAGCCAAAACCACGGACCAGGTGGCCCGCTCTTCCTCCAGGCCCCAGACTCCAGGCGGCAGCCGGAGAACAGGGGTGTGAGAAGACCCCGATCCTCACTGCGCCCGCTCGAATGTGGTGTTGTTGCGTGTTGATCTCAGATGCAATTAAAACTGGGAGTACCAAGAGGGGGTGTCCGGCACACTCCACCCCCCCCTCCAGGAGATAGACGGTGCCAGCACACCCTCCCCCTTCGACAACCCTCAACCCTCAATGTCTAGATGCGAGAGGGGATGGAGGAGGCCGACCGTGGTGAGGCCCATAAAATAAGCCCCCCCCGGTGGCCCTGACCCCCACCCCCCGAAAATGCCCTACATAGATGTGTGTTGTGAAAATGATGTAGATGGAAGTGTCTAAAATGCAAAATAAAATTGGGGTGGGGGACGTCATCAGAAGGTGTGGCCCTCCAGTAACGACCCCCCTCCCCAAAAACCTACATGTGTGGCCGAGTGATGGAGCAGGCAGAGGGAGGATTTCGGGGATGGGGAGCAAAGGACTGGGGTGCCTGCTGCACTCCCAGGGAGCCAGCTCCCCCGCTGACTCCAATAGGCACCCCCGTTCCCCGAGAGCCCCCCCAGAGAAGGGGGCCCCACCAGTTTCACCACCATAGCCCGGGGGCACGGGACCGGCAGCAGGACCCACCAGCCAGCCGGGCACGGAGCCGACTCCCCCCCCCCCCCCCCCCCGTCCTGTCCATCCAAAAAAATAATAATAATAAAAAAATAAATAAATAAATAAGTAGATAAATAAATAACATTTAAAAAAATAAATAAATAAATAAATTAAATAAAAAAAAAAAATAAAAAAAAAAAAAATAAATAAATAAATAAATAAAAAAAAAAATATAAAAGGAAGATAAGAAAAAAAATAATAATAATAAATAAATAAATGAATAAGGGAAGGGACAATCCCAGCCGGCCAGCCAACGCGCAACACGCAGAGCCCCCACCCCGGACGAAGCCCCACCAGGGGGCAGCACGGACCAGGACCAAGACAGGGAGCCAGACCCAAAGCCCTTCAAAGATCTTCTTCCCTCTATCACCACCCCCCACCCCCCCTCCGGAGATGTAATCCCTCCCCTACAATAACAATCAAGCTACTCACCACACAAGCGACAGAAGACATCCAGGCCGAGATCATACCTACTCCCCCTCCCTCCCCTTCCCCCACTTACAGAGTGCAAACCCGTGAGGGGGTAAGCACTTGCCATAGGTGTTAATGTCCATGCCCCCCCCCCAGCCCAGCAGGCCCCGAGGCACCCCGGCACACCAGAGGCCGTGGCAGCAGGGACAGACAGCCAGGCGTACACCGGCCCAGAACCCAAGCAGCACTCCCCACAGAACCCGAACCCCCACCGGGGACCCCGCCCAAGGGCAATGCGCCCCAGGGATCCCAGGCCCAAGGAGCCACCCCAGACCCACCCCGCAGTAGGGCCGGGCAATGCCCAAAAAACCCCCGGCACCGGCGCCAGCACCCCCACCCCGACCCCGGCCCCCGAACGACTCCCCCCAACACCGGTCCCACAGCACCAATCCGAAGAAGAAGAAAGCCACACAACACAGCTAAGCGCAAATCCCGAGCCCCACTCCAAGCCCCGATCCCCCCGCCCACACACCCCCTCCCACACAAAAAACAAACAAAAACAAAAACAAAAAAATTATAATATTCTCCCCCTCACCGGAGAAGAACGGCCACAAACAAGCCAGTGCCCAACACCCACCGCCACACCACGAGGACCCCTCCACCCAGATGCTCCTCCCCAGAAAAGTCAACATGCCTGCCCTCCCAGGAGACAGGCAAGCCCGCCGAACAGGGATCCCCCCGGCAGCGCACCGCCGGCATGCGGGGGCCCGAGCAGCCCCAACAGAAACAACACCGGAAGGCCGACAAGGACGAACCGACGGCACCAACCAAGCCCCCAGGCGGACTCCCCCACCCAAAAACACAACGAAACCACCCCGCCCCCACCGACCACAGCAAACACAGCCGCAAGGCAAAGCAAAGGACAGAGCAGCCCCACCCGGCGCACGCCAGAGAGCCAGAGCAGCAAGGCCGCCCCAGCCGCCAGAAGCCGGCACAAGCAGCAAAAAGAAAGCAGCAGACGCGACCCCACCACCGCATTTGACCGCATTTCTGAGTGCGGTAGCCCAAATTGCTATTTTCATCACTGTTGTTACTCACTGGGTCTCTCCTTCTGGAGAACATTTGGTGTACAGTGGTCTACAGGTGCTGGTCATAAAATTAGAATATCATGAAAAAGTAGATTGATTTCAGTAATTCCATTTAAAAAGTGAAACTTGTATATTATATTCATACATTACATACAAACTCATATATTTCAGATGTTTATTTTGTTTAATTTTGATGATTACAAATGACAACAAATGAAAATCTCAAATTCATCATATCAGAAAATTAGAATATTGTGAAAAGGTTCAAAATTGATGGCCCCTGGTGCCACACTCTAATCAGCTAATTAACTCAAACCACCTGCAAAAGCCTTTAAATGGTCTTTCAGTCTAGTTCTATAGGCTACACAATCATGGGGAAGACTGCTGACTTGACAGTTGTCCAAAAGACGACCATCGACACCTTGCACAAGGAGGGCAAGACACAAAAGGTCATCGCTAAAGAGGCTGGCTGTTCACAGAGCTCAGTGTCCAAGCACATTAATAGAGAGGCGAAGGGAAGGAAAAGATGTGGTCGAAAAAAGTGTACAAGCAAGAGAGATAACCGCACCCTGGAGAGGATTGTGAAACAAAACCCATTCAAAAATGTGGGGGAGATTCACAAAGAGTGGACTGCAGCTGGAGTGAGTGCTTCAAGAACCACCACACACAGACGTATGAAAGACATGGGTTTCTGCTGTCGCATTCCTTGTGTCAAGCCACTCTTGAACCACAGACAGCGTCAGAAGCGTCTTGCCTGGGCTAAAGAGAAACAGGACTGGACTGCTGGTGAGTGGTCCAAAGTCATGTTCTCTGATGAAAGAAAATTTTTGCTTTCCTTTGGAAATCAAGGTCCCAGGTCTGGGGGAAAAGAAGAGGGGCACTTCATCCACGTTGTTTGAAGTCCGTGTAAATTTCCCAAGCCCCAGTGGGGTTTTTGGGGGCCATGTCACTGTGGTTTGGTCCATTGTTTTTTGAGGCCAGGGTCAACGCAGCCCCATACCAAAAAGTTTTAGAGCATTTTCAGTTTCCCTCGCTGACCAAATTTTTTTGGAGATGCAGATTTTTTTTCCAACGGGGACTTGGCACCTGCACAAGTGCCAAAGCTCCCAGTATGGTTAAAGGACCAGGACCCCTGTTTTTAATTGGCCACAAACTCTCCGCCCTTAAACCCCATAGAAAATCAGGGGGTATTGTGAAGAAGAAATGCAATACACCAACCCAAAAATTTCGAAGAGCTAAAAGCCACTTTTAGAGCAACCGGGGTATCATAACCCGAGATGCCAAGATGACGACTCCATGCCACGCCGCTTTCCCTGCAGTAATACAGGCCAAGGGGGGCCCCAACAAAATACTGAGTGCTGTAAATGCTCATACTTTTATGTTCAAAACTTTTCATTTGGCCAACATTTCTATAAACCCTTTTGTTTTTATTGTCTTTTCAAATATTCTAATTTTCTGATATGTTTAAAATTTGAGATTTTTTTTTTGTTGTCATTTGAAATCAAAAATTAAACAAAATAAACTCTGAAATTTGATTTGTATGTAATGTATGAATAAATATACAAGTTTCACTTTTTAAATGGAATTTGAAATCAAACTACTTTTTTCATGAATTCTAATTTTATGACCAGCACCTGTAATATTTAAAAATGAAAACATGAGTTTTTTTGCCATTTACAAATAAGGTTTTTTTTTTTTCTATTTTATCTCATACACTCGTTATTGATCGCTTTCGTAGATTTTGGGCAAATTGTGATCCAAATCAACAGACCATCTGAGCAAAGTCACCACTCTCTGGTCCTTTGGGGGGGACGCGTTTTCAAAAATTTTGAAAACCCCTTCCAAAGAAAAGAGGGGGTTTTTTAAAAACTCCCCCAAACCCGTAAGTTTGCTTTTTATTGCAGAGTGGTTGGGTTTTTCCTGAGCTTCTTTACTGCAGTCAACTCCTGGACTCACTCTACCCAACAAGAAGGCAAATTTTTTTTTCATCTGCTGCACACAGTGTACACAGAGGATAAAAGTTGGGTCAGCACTAAAAATGGTTCTTTAATGGAACATATCCGCTCCTGCTAAATTTGCTCTTCATTCATCAACCTTTTTTTTTTTACTTTGTACTTAAAGCAACATCTTCACTGTTAAAATATAAAAATTTCTATAAAACAATAACACTCTATAAATGAGTTTTTTTAAAAATTTAAAAATTAAGCTTTTTTTTCTGTGTACAGTATTCACATGCCTACAGTTTTCCTTCAAAACTGCTGCTGGGGAAAAAAGAAGTGCTACCCTTTTTCCTGTAATTTTCTTTGAGACCATAAAAAAACAAATGGTTCCTAAAAGGGAAGATTTAAGGGGGGGGGCTTTCATTTTTTCCCAAAAAAATACTTTTCCGTCCAATTTAAGAAGATCCAAGTTGTTCATCCAGGAATCCCTCGTCAAAAACCCCCGATATCCTTAAAATTTGTTTGAGTTAAATCAAGTAAGGCCATGCTGTTTCTAAAAAGACTATTTTTAGTCTGTCAATGAACCAATTTCCCCAAACTTGGCTCTGTTTGTTGAGGTTAGGTTGCCGGGCATGTGTGCAGCCTCTTGCTTATGATAAATGATGAAATGTGTGTCTTTTCTGTTCTGCTCGTTTTCTGTCTTTAGACTGCCTTTTCAAGCTGTGTCCCATGAACAGATATTCAGCACAGAAGCAGTTCGGGAAAGCAGCAAAACCAGGAGGCAACAGTACTACGGACACAGTGCTGCTCAATAAACTTCATGTAAGACCTATTTTTATTTCCAGAAACCATAATTGCAGTGTTATGTGGGCAATTCAAAGAAATAAGTGGACTAAATTTCTGGACTCTCTTTGTGCATGTTAGCATGCTGCAGACCTTGAGAAGAAGCAGAATGAGTCTGAAAACCGCAAGCTGCTGGGAACTGTCATCCAGTATGGAAATGTGATTCAGGTGTGTTGCTACTGATGAGATAAAGGCCTTTGCTTAAAAGAACTGCAGCACTGTGCAGGAGCATTATCACAGTGTGCTTGATGATACAAACCAAAATTTTTTAATCAGAGGAGTTTTAAATGGTTGCCTCTGCTCAATTTGGTCTATCAGATCAGTGGTGAGAGGTGTTCTTTTTCCTTTGCTCATGACAGTTTTGCATTCATTTGTGAGTTTATCAAAGACCGGATTAAATTGCTTTAAATATATATATATTATATATATATATATATATATATATAATATAATATATATAATTATATATATATATACACACTCACCAGCCACTTTATTAGGTACCCCATGCTAGTAACGGGTTGGACCCCCTTTTGCCTTCAGAACTGCCTCAATTCTTGGTGGCATAGATTCAACAAGGTGCTGGAAGCATTCCTCAGGGAGTTTGGTCCATATTGACATGATTGTCGGCTGCACATCCATGATGCGAATCTCCCGTTCCACCACATCCCAAAGATGCTCAATTGGATTGAGATCTGGTGGGCTGTGGAGGCCATTTGAGTACAGTGAACTCATTGTCATGTTCAAGAAACCCCGTCTGAGATGATTCCAGCTTTATGACATGGCGCATTATCCTGCTGAAAGTAGCCATCAGAAGTTGGGTACATTGTGGTCATAAAGGGATGGACATGGTCAGCAACAATACTCAGGTAGGCTGTGGCGTTGCAACGATGCTCAATTGGTACCAAGGGGCCCAAAGAGTGCCAAGAAAATATTCCCCACACCATGACACCACCACCACCAGCCTGAACCGTTGATACAAGGCAGGATGGATCCATGCTTTCATGTTGTAGACGCCAAATTCTGACCCTACCATCCGAATGTCGCAGCAGAAATCGAGACTCATCAGACCAGGCAACGTTTTTCCAGTCTTCTATTGTCCAATTTCCATGAGCTTGTGCAAATTGTAGCCTCAGTTTCCTGTTCTTAGCTGAAATGAGTGGCACCCGTGTGGTCTTCTGCTGCTGTAGCCCATCTGCCTCAAAGTTCCACGTACTGTGCGTTCAGAGATGCTCTTCTGCCCACCTTGGTTGTAACGGGTGGTTATTTGAGTCACTGTTGCCCTTCTATCAGCTCGAACCAGTCTGGCCATTCTCCTCTGACCTCTGGCATCAACAAGGCATTTTCCGCCCACAGAACTGCCGCTATCTGGATGTTTTTTCTTTTTCGGACCATTCTCTGTAAACCCTAGAGATGGTTGTGCGTTGAAAATCCCAGTAGATCAGCAGTTTCTGAAATACTCAGACCAGCCCTTTTGGCAAACCCAAAAAACCCCCCAAAAAAATTTTTCCCCCT